AACGAAATCCATATATAAATGCCAGAAATGCTATTAATATTTGATGATTTTTTAGTACAAAAATGACAACCATTCGGCCATTTTGAATAGGATCGTCAAACCAATATATCTGTCTATCTATGACATGATGTATAAAGAATATTTAAAATTTGAACATAATCAGTGAAAAACAAGTCGGCCATTTTGAATGTTATCTGAAAAACAAAATTATTTGCATCAAGGTCCTATAATGTCCAACGTATATACAAGGTTTGAACAAAATCCATCTGTAAACAGCCGGGGAAATGCTTGATTTTTAAGATTTTTAGCACATAAATGGCCCCCATTCGGGCATCTTGAATTAGATCATTAAACAAATTGACGTGCATATGTATGATATCATGTATGATGTATGTGTGAAGTTTGATTGTATTTGGTCCAGGCATTTCTAAGATACAGGTCCGGACAGACGCACGCACGCACAGACGCACGGAGGTCAAAACATAAGTCCCCTTTTTCGGACTGCGTTCGAACGGGGACTAAAAATATAAATTATGCAATATGGAAAATAATTGTGATGAGTGCCTATCACACTCGATAAGTAAACACTTACACTTGTTATTCAATTTTTCAAACTTTGTAAAGCTGATGGCCTTAAAGAATATATTTCTATGTAAATTAAATTAATTGTGATTTCTCCCCTGACTAGGTCCTATGTACTTTTGTTATTTATAGTTACAGCGAGCACAAGATATGTACATACATGTACAACTAACTCCTGGCCGCAATTATTGCCGAGGGACTTTGCAACATCCCAGACACTTTCCTAGATACTCCAACAACTGTTGTAGACGCAATAAGGTTACATACACGCCTACGTGACAGTAATTCAAAACAATGGAAAAGGGTTTTAGATGGATTCAACTATTACAACGTATAAGCGTCCAGTCAGACATTCATCAAACAAGCATGTTTTACTCATATATAGTAATTGCCTACCGGGTGCAGAAGTTGTAAATAAATAAATAAGTTGTATGTAAAAATATCTTGCGCCCAATGTAAAGCACTCATCATATCCTAGCTTTTATTGGGGATCCACATAATGTGTACATGTAGGTAAAGACATTATTTTTGTTATTCAAACCAAACAAGAACATGCACATGTCTATAACCACTACCTTTATTCAATTTAGTGAATGGAAACTTTATTCTTATAGGGAATTAACTCAAACTCGTTAAACACCACAATTTTTGTACATTTAACTTCTCATGTTAATTTTAAAACAAATATATATTTATCCACAAGTCAATATTTATGAAAATTTAATGTAGGTTTACTTTGGGAAGGGTGGCAAAAGTTGACTTGTGTTTAATGTGTTGACAATACTTCTACGATGACTTTAACATCACATACCTCTCCTTGGTTGATTGTACACTCTAGTGGTCTATCCTGCTCATGTAGATTGGGATAATCCTCCATTAGCCACTGTAATGTTGTTTTATTTGGATGAAATGACGGCGTTTTTTCGGGGGGGTACAGAAACCATCTCTGAAAAGTGTAAGCAATTTCTGTGTGAACCATCACATGGGTTATGCATAATATGAAGTGATGACATTTATCAAGCACGGTTATAACGTAGTTAAATGACAACAGCTGTTGTGACCATATGCATTTTATATCGGTTCTAAACGTAATACCATATGCAAACACCAAGAAAGCTAAAAAAAAAACTTTTACAGATCTCGGGCTATTATTATATTACATAACATATCACCACGTATTTTCATTCGGTACAACAAGGTTGGTTTGACTAGAATACAAAATATGAAACAGTGCTTGGTAAAAAATGCAGCCAACATTCCTTTATGAGTTATGTAACATACCTTTCTACCATAGATAACCTCTGCAAATCCGGGGCCATGCCAGTGAAATGGTACACCAGTACCTGGTCCTGAAAAAAACAAAGTCATTGTCACTAAAAAATGTTCCTATTTGCATTAGAAACGTGCCAATATATAGGAAAGTTTTAATGTGTGATATATGTGTTTAAACTAAATGGTTTGGGCATGTAAGAGATATGGCTCCATGCATCGGCATGATTCATTTAAACAAGATGACTGCCAGTCAGCCATTTGGGATTTGATGGTGATGCATTTGTCAGTCACCAATTTTTAAAAAGTATGTAATATGACATTATTTTCAACATATGTACCAAATTTGAAAAGAATCTTTCCATGCATGACTGAGATCTAGTTCAAGGAATGGTGAAAATGCATGATTTTAATGTACATTGTATTTTTGGCTTCAAAAGGCCCTTTTGAATCATAGAACAAAAGTTTAAGTATCCACCAAGAAGAACCATATTGTTTGTGTTATGTACCTTGTTTCAGACTATAACCTGGATGTAAAATAAATTTAACAGTTTTGCCATGACATGTCACCTCAATCTTCTCAATTTTACTTGCAATGAACAACTACCACTCTCAATTGAACAAAAATATGTTGCACGTTTATCCAGTTATCAATTACCATGCAGATAATTTCTAACTCAAGATGCTGACACACAGCTATGTAAACACACAGCTGGCATCTACCAATTTTAAGTGTCAGATTTAGAGAAAATTTCAATTATACGCATTTATGAACAAACATTGCTAGTTCAAGCTGCCAACAGTTTCTGAGAAAATGCATTGCCAATGTTGGTAATCATCATTTCAGTCTGTTTTGTTCATCACATTATTTGAACAAAGTGCTATATATATATATACATCTCTGAATATAATGACCACATCATAAAATAAAAGAATTTTTAATACCACCACTGACTGAGAATACTCTAGAAAATAGTGAATGTAGTGTCAAAAGAAGACATGAAAAATGACTCCTACGGCATCTGTATTAAAATAATAATAATGGTGAAAATATGCAACAGAAGAGATGCAGCTTTTATTAGAGCATCAACACATACAAGAAATGGTGAATTTTTGGTTCTCAATTGTTCAAGAAGGTATGGGGCGACTTATATTAGGGCTGTAGTTTCTGTTGACAGACATTATAGGGTCTTTCCATACTGATGCCTTGTATACTGGACATTATTGTTTACTTACCTGCCAATCCAAAACTGAGAATTCCTTCAGTGTCAGGAAGTATATACGGAGGTTGTTTATACACACGAAACAAGGAATCCCATTCAGTATAGTTATTATCACCAAACATGTACTGTGTTTCTGAAAATGATGCGAGATTATTTTCAATGACACGTCCCCGTTCCGTTCATATTTGAGTCACATATACATTCAAAGCAGATCATGACCGAAATCTCAGACCACTTTCAGTGGTCTGATCCAAAATGCACCTGCATATGTACAACACATTGTATGATGTGTGTGAAGTGTGGTCTTGATCTGTCCAGGCATGTCCGAGATATGGATCAAAAACTAAATTCTTTAAAACAAAATGGCCACCAGTCGGTCATTTTGAACTTGATCTGAAGAAAAATTGGTGTGCATCAAGCTTATATTATGTTTAATATATGCACTAAATCTGAACAAAATCCATCCATGCATGACTGAGATCCGGTTCCGGAATTGTGAAAATACGTGAT